GGGCTCAGGGGGAGGGGCAGAGATTGGGGGCGTGGCCTCTCCCGCCCCTCCCCCCTCCCAGTAATTTTGGGGGGGTGGGGGAGGGGCGGACTCACCGCGGGCGGGGCTGGGGGAGGGGCTGGGCAGCGCTCCTGCCGCCGGGGGGGCGTGGCCGGGAGGCCCAGCTCTGCGGCATGCAAATGAGATGCAAATTAGTATGCGAAACTGACCCCACCGATGCCACACCCGTGGATGCCCCGCCCACCAGCGGGGAAAGGGCGGGGCTAACACAAGCCACGCCCGCTGGTACATCCCCATGGCCACGCCCACCGGTGAAAGAAGGGGCGTGCCCACCATAGGCCACGCCCCTCCCCATCCATTTAGGCCCTGCCCACCGTGGCGGAAAAGGGGGCGTGGTCTGTGTTAGCCCCGCCCCTGTCACAACCTTGTGGCCACACCCACCCCAGGCCCCGCCCACATGTGGAGGAAAGGGGCGGAGGCAACACAAGCCACGCCCCCGCCTCACCCACTTGGCCCCGCCCACGGGTGGAAGAAAAGGGGCGGAGCCAACACAAGCCACGCCCATCACACCCTTGTGGCCACGCCCACCCAAGGCCCTGCTCGTTTGTAGAGAGGGGAAAGGGGCGTGGCTAACACAAACCACGCCCCTCCACGCCCTCATGGCCACGCCCCATCGACATATGGAGAAAAGGGGCGGGACTAACACAAGCCACGCCCACACCCAGCCAATGCCCGTTCAGCCCCGCCCATTTGTGAATTAGAAGGGGCGGGGCTAACACAAGCCACGCCCCCATGTCACGCCCAAGCAGTGCCCCGCCCGTTGTGGAGGGGAAAGGGGCGGGGCCAACCCAAGCCACGCCCCTGTCACGCCCAACCAAGGCCCCGCCCACTCGTGAATGGGGAATGGGCGGGGCCAACACAAGCCACGCCCCTGCCACTCTCGTGGCCACGCCCACCCAGGCCCCACACACTGGGAAGGGGCGGGGCCAACACAGGCCCCGCCCCGAGCCCCGCCCACCCCGGCGGTGCTGGCTCAGCCGTTGGTCGAGGCGGGCGCAGAGGGCGGGGCCGAAGTGCTGCAAGATGGCGGCGGCGCGGCCGGAGCGCAGCGGCAGCGGGTACCGGGAGAGCGAGCGCAGCGCCTGCGGGGAAACCGGCCGGGGCCAAAATAACCCAAAATAATCCTGGGGTGCCCAAAATATTCCTGGGGTGCCCCAAAATACCCCAAAATAATCCTGGGGGGCCCCAAATACCCCAAAATAATCCTGGGGGGCCCAAAATAATCCTGGGGGGCCCAAAATAATCCTGGGGTACCCAAAATAATCCTGGGGGGCCCAAAATAATCCTGGGGTACCCCAAAATAATCCGGGGGGCCCAAAATACCCCAAAATAATCCTGGGGGGCCCCAAATACCCCAAAATAATCCTGGGGGGCCCAAAATAATCCTGGGGTACCCCAAAATAATCCTGGGGGGCCCCAAAATACCC